ATGCTCCATGAGGGAAGAGAAGGATGTTGTCTGTTTTGTTCACTGCTATATTCTCAGCACCTGGAACAGTGCCTTGCTTATACAGTATACTAAATATGTATTTGTGGGATGAATGTATTTGAATGGATGAATAAGTGGCTGCACCTGTCTTTGAGAAAGATTCTGAAGGAATTCCCAAGCTCACTGGGCAGAATCCAAAGTCCCCAAATCACTTCTGTCCCCATAGATCAATTATCTACCTGATGTATGCACGCTTTTGACTCCCTGATACCCTTTGAGTCCTTTCTAGCATCAGTTCCCTCTTCAACCCTCTCCTAATCATTGCACTTTCTTTCTCCATCCCACACAAGTGATATTTTGTAATATAACCAATACTCATACATAGAAAAAGAGGCTTTTATTAGGAGATGAAGGTTATTTTATGATAGTGGTGGAGAGAACAAAAAAGGAGAAAAAATTGGAGACTTGGAAAACCTAGATTCTAGAGTTCTGAAGGAACTTGTAAATATCTTGGAGACAGTATACTTGTGAAATCATAGCAAATGGGAAAAGCAACAAAAGATTATACTTTTTACTGGATAGAACTCACCTAGAGTCTGGTGTTCCACATGTAATATCATGCCCAATCTGGGCTATAAGGTTTTTAAAAGGGCAAAAGAGTGTGTTCAGAGATGGTTAACAGTATAGTGAGACTCCATTATATAAACAATGGTTAAATAATAATAATAATTTCCAAACATGATGTGTCAGGCATTATTCTAAATGTTGTTGATAAGAAGTTATTTAATCCTCATCCTAAAAAGCAGGTACTATCATGTCTATTTTGAGATGAGGAACTGAAGGTACAAAGAGGTTAAATAGCTCCCTAAATGTCGCACAGGTAGTAAGAGGTAGAGCCACTGCTGATGTTATTCTGATTTCAGAGAATGTGCTCTTTTTAATTATACCTTTTTTTTTTTAATTATTGTTGGGGATTCATTGAGAGTACGAGAAACCATGTTAACACTGATTGCATTTTTTAGGTAAAATCCCTCTTATAATTGTGTCTTCAGAGTCTGTGCTCTTAACCACTATGTTTTCTTTGAATATTTAAAGAAGGTGCTATTGAAGAAAAAAGTGAGGCTACTGTGGAATTTGTAAGAAGGTAGCTTTAGCCTTAACCTGAAGCTTGAAAGTCACTATTTCCTTCTCATTCCCCCAATCTACCCATATGTGCTTCTAGAGTAGGACTGGCAACAGCATTTTATAACTCTTGTTTGCTATCATTGCTACCTCTATTTTATTAACCTTTTTTAAGAATTATTATTTCATTCTTTTTGAACCATTAGATTTAGTTTAGTGCAATCAATATTCAGTTTTTGATGAATGAATGAATGGTCTTTAAATTAATTAAAACTGTCTCATTATGGAATATCTTCCCTTTGAAGCAGTGAGCTCCTGGTCCTGGGAGTATTCAAGCCTGGGCTGGATGCTTGAAGGGATGCTGCAGAAAGAACATTTATGTCTTATATATGTGGAAGGTTAGACCAGGTTTTTTTCTAATTGACTTATCTGATCCTATGATGTAAGTTTTTATTCTGTTTCCAAATATTTATTGAACACCTACTATGTGCCTGGCATTAATCTAGGTACTGAAGATGCAAAGATAAATGTGGCCCAGCCAATATCCATATGGAGCTAATAGTAATTCAGAGGTGCTGAAGAATATAGGTGAAATGTATTGGTAGACAACAAATTAATAGAAAAGGACAGATTTTAGAGATATTTTGAATAATGGGGGAAAGGCAGAAAATCTGTCATAAAGGGGAGACATAGATATAAAAAACGACCCCCAAATTGCCTATGTATGTAATAAGGGAGAATTTGGGAAGTAAAAGGCTTATGCTATGTTGCAATGGGGGACTTCCCCAAAAGGGGACTACAGGTATTTGCCATCAAGGTATGTTGAAGGGCTAGATGCAATTCAGTAGAGATTAATTTGTGAAGTATTTTGAAGTTCTTGAAACAATTGTGCCTTCTCTTATTAGTCTCCAAAACTCATAAAGATGAGTAAGTCCCATCTCCACTTCTGCCCCTTCAGAGGGGGTAAAGGAATAGTCCATTAAGGGTTAAGGGTTAAGATGAAATGGAATAGTCCATTAAGTCAAGTAAAAGTAAGCTTTCTGGTGATTAGGACAGGGGTACTAATAATATATACAAAAGGACCCTTTGGGGTTTTTTCTGATTCATGTCTGGAATCTGTTAGGCAGTGGAGGAATGGTGGTCTGTCTTTTATTACCCTGGTCCTTCATGCTGCTCCTCTTTCGTACATGTCCAAATACGTTTTAACAGAATCATCTTTTCTAGCTGAGACATGATGCCTAGGTGGGTGGGGGATTCCCCTGTTTTGTTTAAAATCATAGTTGTCTTTGAATTTGGCTAGCATGTTCATGATTAGTTTACTGACAATTGGTTTTTTTCTTTTTATACCATATGCTATTCCATGATTCATCAGCTTTGAGTCTGTTGCTTTGAAGGTGAAACAATTTCTTCCAATGTTGATATTTCATAATCTCATAGATAACAAGCATACGCATATGCATAGTCCTTTTAGAAGTTTTAAACATTTGGAGATGAATGAATTATGCTGCCACAAATGGAAAGGAGCAGTATAAAATTATAATGGTGATATTTAATCATCTTTTGTTGGGGGGTTGTGTGAACATTGATATTGTTAAAGCCTGGCTGGTTTACGATATTTCTTTATCTCTGATTGTGAAATTGTCACTGATGTGTGTTATAAAAATTGAACATCTTACTTAATCACCTTGATTTACATATATTTTAATATTTTAGACTGACAAGACCTTTATTTTTAGAAGTTGGGTTTAAATACCAAATAAATCATAATATTAGTTGTTTATATTGTAATGGTGGCATTTCTTCTATATTTAATGTATAGCAATGACTAGGGAAACTTGAAGAAATACTGTAATCTTTCAAATTATTTTAATAGAACACATTATATTTTCTGAATGTAAAACAAGGTAGTATTTCTGAATATTTTAGTATTCTAAATATTTAAAAATGAGAAGATCACCTAACCCCAGAGAGAATAGCCCACATCACAAAATCTCAAAGCTGTAGATGCTGGCTGGCATGGATGTGGAGAGAAGAGAGCACTTTTATACTGCTGGTGGGACTGCAAAATAATACAACCTTTTTGGAAGGAAGTATGGAGAATCCTTAAAGAACTCAAATTAGACCTCCCATTTGATCCTGCAATCCCATTACTAGGCATCTACCCAGAAGAAAAAAAATCCTTTTGTCATAAGGACATTTGCACTAGACTGTTTATTGCAGCTCAAATTACAATCACCAAAACGTGGAAACAGCCTAAATGCTCAACAATCCAGGAATGGATTAATAAGCTGTGGTATATGTACACCATTGAATACTATTCAGCCATATAAAAAAGATGGAAATTTTACATCTTTTATATTAACCTGGATGGAGGTAGAACACATTCTTATTAGTAAATCATAACAAGAATGGAGAAGCAAGAATCCAATGTACTCAATTCTAATATGAAGGCAACAGATGATCTAATGCAAGGGAGGGAGTGGGGGAATGAGGAATTGGGGAGAGGGGATAAGAGAGGGGGATGGGGGTTATGGTTTATGGCACACCTCTTGAGGGCGGGACACAATTACAAGAGGGACTTTACCTAACAACTATAATCAGGGTAACCTAATTCTTTGTATCCTCAATGAATCCCAAACAATAAAAAAAACAACCTGGCATTAATGTACACAGTGAAGATTTAATATTAAAAAAGAAAAAGAAAAACCTGAGACTTCTTTTGATCGCAGACTGAGACATTAAATAATCAGGTAGCCATCTTATCTGCCATGGAAATTACAGTACTTGAATTTTGTAAAACACTCCCCATCACCAAAACTGTATATGTGCATTAGGATTTAAAGTATATGTACAACCGTAGAATACTATGCAGCCATAAAGAAAGATGGAGACTTCACATCTTTTATGTTTACCTGGATGGAGCTGGAACATACTCTTCTTAGGAAAGTATCTCAAGAATGGGAAAAAAAGTATCCAGTGGACTCAATAGTACTATAGAATCAATATATAATCACCTACACACTCATATGTATGGCAAAACATAACTATAGTCCAGAAGTAGAAGGCAAGAGGAGAGACAGGGGAGGGGAGGGGGGATATGGGCAGAGGGAGGGTATTTGAGGGGAATTCACCTAATGTGTATGCAATGGTACATTTCCAAACTATTAAGAAATAAGTATAATTGTGATGGATGTGTTACTTAGTTCAATGTAAGCATTTCACGTTGTATATCGAAACAGTACCCTGAACCCTATAAATGCATCAATGTACAAAGTTATGATTTAATAAAAAATAATAAAATAATAAACTATATGTATACTAACATTAGTATCTTAAAAAAAAAAGAAAAAAGAGGGCAGTGCCTGTGGTTCAGTGGGTAGGGTGCTGGCCCCATAAACCGAGGGTGGCCGTTTTGAATCCGGCCCGGCCAAACTACAGCAAAAAAATAGCTGGGCATTGTGGCAGGTGCCTGTGGTCCCAGCTACTCAGGAGGCTAAGGCAGGAGAATCGCCTGAGCCCAGGAGTTGGAGGTTGCTGTGAGCTGTGACACTACAGCACTCTACCGAGAGCAGTAACATGAGACTCTGTCTAAAAAAGAGAAAAAAGAAAAAAAAAAGAATATTGGACTGCTAATAAACATGGACTAAATTAGGTTTCTGCATGTAATTTTACTCAATGCACTTAGTGCATTGTCTCATTTAGCAACCTCTTTTTACTCAGAATGTCGGTGATTGTTTTTCAATGCAAAAAATTCTTGATAATTTCATGGGGTAGATGTATGTATAAATTTCTATATAATTTATACTTTTGGAGAGAGATTTTTAAAAAATTGTAATTCTCATCATCTCTTCCTCTCCTTCTGCCTTACCTGATTTTAGCTCCTCTTTGGTTCAGGTGCGCTGGTGTCCCTAAGCCTTTCTGGGCCGCAGCTGGAGAAAGTGGTGATTGACAGAACCCTAGTGGGGAAGCTCATCTCAGACACCATCAGTGATGGTAATTACCCCCATGTGCAAATCAATTGCCTACATTAACAGTGGGGCAGGAGAAATAGTGTGTCAACAGGTAGACTAATTATTACCACTGGGGACTTGCAAACAGAAGTAATTGCTTGTAATGGCATACTTACAACCCCTGAGACCAATACAAGTTTTGAGTAAGATTTAATATCAAAGTTTTTGTCTTCTTGTCAAGTGTTAGGCTTATATTCTCAGTATTTTTCACATTTCCTTATAAAATGTGAATGTATATTTAAAATTGGATTTTGTTTTCATTCTTTCAAAATCAATTCTCTATTACTGACATTTCAAATATATTTCATTTCCAAATGAATTTTGAGTAAATAACACAAATACACCAACAAAGCCACCAGTAAAAAAACTAATGCTTTGGCTCTTAGAGGAAGATTTGTGCTTATTAAAGTCATCTCAAACTTCTGGCCTTAAATAATCTTCCCATCTTGGCCTTCCAAGGTGCTGGGATTATAGGCATAAGCCCCCATGCCTGGTCCTCTTTCTTATTGAAGTCTTATGAACTCTAACTTCAGAGAGATTTGGGGTATATTTTCTAAATATCAAAATTCAGTGCCAAATATACTGGATACATCTAGTTCCATTAAGTGATACTGTAATCAGTAGATAATTTGTAAAAAGCACATAAGAAAAGATTTTAAGCCAATCATTGACTAGAAAGGATTCTGACATATATTGAGCCATAAAGGCTCTATGCTGGGTCCCAACATACCTGTTTCATTTAATACAAGAAAACAAGGCATAGTTATTTCCATTTGTATACCTAAGAAAACTGAAGCTGACCTACTAAGGAACATGCCCAGAGTCATATAACTAGAAAGTGATTGAGCTGAGATTTGAATACAGGTTCTGGCTGCAAAGCCCATTTTCTTTTTACTATACCATGGTGACTCCTGAATTTTTGAAATTATGTTCTTTTATTCAGGGTGAAAAGTCTAGAAACATTACATTATTATGAAAGATTGAAAATGTCAGTGTCTTAAAATGAGTAATTAAAGGAAAATGTGGCCTAGTGAAAAGGACAGGTGAGAATAAAGAAATCTTTCTGCTGTATGCTCTCTCTAGCTACCTCTGGATAAAATAAGACACAATCATATTATCTTAAAGAAGAGTGTTCTGCAGCATGGCTATAATTGGCAACATGAGCGATAATAATAAGCTGTGGGTGGGATTGTAAGCATGCCATTCCCCCTTACTTAAAGGAATATGGTGCTAAGGAAGCTTCCCTATGGAAGAGGTTTCATTTTCATAGTCTGATAATTGACCTCTTCATTAACATTGCAAATAAAATAGTGGCTGTGATGATTTTGTCATATTGATGCTCCTTGATAAGAATTAAAAGGAGGCTTCTAATACTGTTTGTCTCTCTGAGTTATCTTTTTTCACTTCTTTTATTTATAGTCCAAATAATACACTCTCTTGGGAACATGATAACAATGTGATTTCTTGGCAGTTCTCCAGATTTTCCTGTAATTGTGTAGATCCACTGTTGGTCACTGCTTGCACAGCCAGGGGTGTGGAAGTAAAGAAAAATGTATAAATCATTTAATAATTTCTTTATGCTAGGAATAATACAAATCATTTCTGAAATTCCTATATGTTTTTGTCAATAATTTTATGTAACATTAATGGCCCTTTATGTAACCCATGAGTATTAATTATCTATATACATGTATGCTTTGGAAATAAGGCTATAGAAATTTTTTTCCTGATCGTCATCATTAAATATCAATTTGTGTAATATACGTTTGGGGCATTATATGATTTATTTCATGTGATGAAATTAAGCTTACATACCCTGTAAAAGAGTTATTGATGAAAATTTTTAAAAGAAGAAGAAATAAAAATGGTAGAAAATGCTGATCAGTATCCCCTAAAATCTACTTTATTCTCAGATGGTTTATATCATTTAAACATAGGAGTAAACTCTAGGCACAAATAAAAGTAATTGTTTTCATCTCTACATTCAGGTGTGAATAGTCTTTCTTTGGTCCTTTCCTAGCCCTGGTTCCAAATACATTTTATTTGGTGGTTATTGAAATAGTCAGAAGAAAAAAAGAAAAATATCAAATCTATGCATGATTAGTTTGATGATTATTGCTTATTCCTAATAGCTTTAGTATTTCTGTTAAATGTCATAATATAATATTTAGGAAACTTTAGCAATTTCAATTACTATGTATCTTCTGAAAGTAACTTTTTAAATATTTTAGTGGAAAAACTATTCATTTCTTATTATTCTAACTTAGTATTACCAAATCATGTTTTTTAGCTCTTCTCACAGACAGTTTTATCATCTTATCGTTTTTGGCACAAAAAAACCTATGTTTTATTCAGTTTACCAAGAAGATGGATTCTCCTGATGTAAACAAAAGACTGGAAAAACTCTCAGCCTTGGATTATAAGGTAGAAATTTCTATTTATATAGTCATATTATTACTAAAGAGTACTAGAGTATCATATGAGTTGATGTTATGTTCATTACTGTTGAACATTTCTGGATTTCAGAAAAACCAGAATTATTATAGATTAAGCTTGATTCACTGCTAACAGTGACCATGCTAAGTTTTCTTTTTCACTCTCATTAGATGGGGGTGAGTGTTACAATGGCATTTTTTGATCAATTTATATAGTGCTTCTAGAAGTCAAAGATAATAGAGGCATGTTATACTTTTTTAAAAAGTTTTTTTCTTGCTGGTGATAGCATGTACACCATTCTCATTTTCCCTTAAGACCCCATATGATCTTTTTAGGCTAGGGTAGCTGCTCTGATTTGTGTTTCTACAGAAAAGAAAGAAGGAAGAAGTCACTTTCAGAGGTTAATAGAAAAGTGTAATAACAAGGACTGGGGAGAACACCCCTGCCCCAGCCAGTATAACTGGAGAAAATGCAAAAAGAAATTTCCTTCATGTGTTAGTATCTCTCCCTTCACTAACTCTGGGTAATTTCTTTCCTTACTGTATCAGAGGCTTTACATCTGTTAAGGCAGAATTTTTATTTTAAATGATGTGTTTAAGTTTTGCCACATTGCATTTTAACTGCTGGGAAGGCATACTGTTTGCTACGGTGAGTATCTAATACATTTTCCAGGCTGTTTCAGTTCAAGGCCTCTTTTCAGCAATGACTTGTGTTTGCAAGATTGATCCAGCCTCTGTGACGTGGATTTGAGACAGTTCACTGTTCACTGGGGACAGAACTGATACAGCTTCCTTAAAAAAGATGATGCACACTTACCTAGAGCATCTATAGCAAGGGCAAAGAGTTTTAGAAGCCAGCTCTGTGGCTTGAAATGTGTGTGTGTGTGTTTGGAAGGGTATTTAACTTTTGCCTGCTGGGATTATTACTTATAAACGAGGTGGAAGTGGTATGAGGAACATTTAGTGGAAACATCTGTTCTTATGAAAAGGGTTTTTAATATGGAATAAAAAATATTAAATGAATTTTTCATTGTGGTACTAAACTGCAATGGTTAACTGAAGATTTACTAGAAATATTTATTGTTCATTTGCTAATATTTAAAGATATTGTTTATTTGCTAATACCCTTAAAATACACCAATGTGCATTAACTCAAACGATATAAAGTGTTGTTAATGCTAGTATATAAAATTTTGTATGACTTGTTTCTTCATCTTACATGAAGGTGAAGTCTTTTCCAATGGATGATGAAAAACTACCTGTTAATGAGAGCAGAGAGAAACTGTCAGTATGTCCTATTTTCTTAAGAAAAGATACGGAAAATAGATCTAATATTTGTGTCCTTAAACGTTAAGTAAGGGAATTACTTGCTTATTCTTTCTGCCTTTAGATTTTGGAAATTAAGAACATGGGCACTCCATTTTATTTCTATACATTAGAAAAGTAATATGTTTCTTTTTGGAAAGCCCATGAATTTCATTTCCTGGTTTTATGTTTAAAATATAGATATTTAATACTAAGTTAAATCTTCCAATTGTCCATTAGAAGGATATTTTAAGAATTTATTCATTTTACTTGCCCTCCTGATTATCATGAAAATTCATAAGAAATATGAAATAATCAAATAACATAAGAAGTTTGCATTATGTGAGAACCAGTTAATGATATTTGCTCATTTTAAACTTCTTTTCCTCATCTAGAAATTCATAGGTAACAGTAGGTGTATTTTTAAGTATTTAGCAATTTCATTGTGGTATTTCTGTCAAAGGAGAAAAATAGTTAAAATACTGATATTGAGGGCTTAAATATAAGAATTTTGACTTAAAAGCACTAAGTACATCTGTGTTGTCTACCCATTTGGATTTTAAAACAAGGAGGTGGTATAGAGTATTGTATTTCTGCTTTCTGTTACAGCTGTACCATAATTTAATTCTTTCAGATTGACATAATTTTGGCAAAGAAAATTGCAGGGTAAATATCCTAAAACTATTGACCTTTAACAAAATTTCCTGTCCACATTTTAAAATCCAATTCAATTTATTTAGTAGTGAAGGGACAGTGCAAGGAGTTAAATGTTTACCATGAGAGAACAACACTGGTAATTACTTTGATTTCAGTTTCTTTTGATGTGTATTTGGAGGATGAAGAGGTCAATAATATTATGGCCATGCAAATAGAAAAGGGTTCCTTTTGACCATATTGAAAAAAAATAGCAGAGGATTATTAAAGCATTAACCTTGATTTTAATGGCCTTGGTTGAGTGGTGAGATCACAATTTGGATGAGCCTGATTATTTACTAAATACAATACATAAATGCAACGGGTTCTTAACACCCATTGCACTCTGGCATTATCGCATTACTGCCATCCTTTGTTGCCTTGCAGACAGGAATATGAAAGCAATCTGTCATGTAGTGAGACTGGCTCCAGAAGCATTTCTCTGATAAGAAGACCCCCTGCCCTTTGCTAGTGTCTGGTCCAGTAGGCTTAGCCATGCGCTTAATCCCCAGAAAGTGGTTCGATTATTGCTGACCAGCAATGGCAAGATAGTTTTTTTTTTCTTCCAAGCTATCAACCTTCCATTAATTCCTTAAGCAGAAATACGGTGCAATCTATATTTCCTTGGCATGTGTCACCCAGATGGTGCCGTGCTTATGTTTTCAAATAACCATGTTCCAAAATAACATAGTTTGAATAATAAATTCTACAAATCCTTCCTAAGAAAGAGAAGCATAATTCTCAGAAGCTGCATAAACTTTTACGCATGATGCTGTGGCTTATCCCTTTTATGCAGAATATGTATGTCTGTGTCTCATATATTCTTTAAAGAGATATTTGCCTCAAGTTATTTTTCCTTTTGTTGTTGTCAGTTATTGTTAACGTGTTATGTCTTAAACAGTAGTCAGACACTCTTGGTCAGCAGTACTGAACTTGTCATTTAATACAGCTGGTCTTAAACCCTGTGTGTAGATCGATGCTGTCAAGCAACCATGACTGTACATTTTGGTATTGATTGGAATTGCTACATCTAATTCTTCCCTAACTCACATTTCTCCTTTTCTTCCCTCTGCTAAAAATGGGGAGAATTTTGAACATATGTCTTTTTTACATGTGTGTCAAAAGAATTTGGTAAATTCTGACACCTTCTTAAGCACATATTTAACATGCATATTTACTTGCATGTATCTACATTTCCAGATGCTTTAATTTTTGTAATACTTTGAGGGTTTTACATCTTTTCAAAGAAATGTTTCTTATATGCTTTTTTTTTAATCATTAGATTTCCTATTGTGAAATACCTGGCCCAATAAACAGGACAACAAAGCGTCATCTTGCTATCAATTATGTTCAGGATATAGTTATTTGCTGGTGGCCACTGGTCAGTGATGATGCTTGGCCTTGGGCCCCCATTTCTTCTGAGAATGACAGAGCCAATCTTCTGCTCCTCGGTTACGCTCAAGGAAGACTAGAGGTAAACCTAAAACAAATATATACATTTTAATAAAGTATAAATAAAATAGAATTATTGGTTTTTCTATTCTGAAATAAATGTGAATTTTTTTAAAACTTATTAATTTTTCAAATCTTAAAAAAAGGAAATTGCATATGAAATGGGAGCCTAAGAAGTATCATATCTAGAGGATACCCTGATAATTCCAAGGCTGGCTAGAATAGTATAGTAAGTAAGAGATCAGGCTCCTGGGTTCAAATACTAAATGTGTCACTCCCTACCTCTCTATCTTTGAACAAATTGCTCACCTCTATGTGCTACAGTTTTATTAACTGAAAAGTTGAATTAGTGAAGATTGATAAATACATGCATTTAGAGCAATACCAATGTATAGTGAACTCTGAATCACTGTTCACTTTTGTGGCTCTTGTGATTAGTTGTAGTAGTACTGTCCTTACTATTTGGTCATGATTTCATGCCCATGAAAGCTATGTTATCACTTACCTTCTTCAAACATCAATCATTCAATTAACAAACATTACTCAAGTGCCTACTTTGTGCAAGACCCTGTGATGCCAAACCATAGCTGAGGCGAATTGTAAGGAGAGAAATAGTGATGGCCTTCTCAGTCCAGTATTGTGTCTCACACTGGAGCACCAAAAGGATTAATCTACAGAGTGAGTACAATATCGTCACTCTATCTATTCTTGACTGCGGTTTGATCTGTCATTCATTTATTCACGTGTGAACCTACATGTGTTTTCAGTTTGTACTAATACTTTGAGTATGCAATTCCCTATTTGTGTTTTTTATGACTTTAAAAATAATAGGTCTGTCATCCCCTAAACTTTAAGGTTTTTACCTAGGTAAAATAGTACATTCTTATATTTTCCTCTTATCATCTTTTAGTCTTTAAGGAATATTTCCCAGAATTAATATTCTGAGGTAAAATGAATAAGTCTAAGTTTTCTCTATCCCTACCTACCTCTTTTGGTTTTATTAACTTCAGGATGTCCTTTAAGACTGAAGAGTCCTAAAATTGAAAATATGTTTTTATGTATTCATATGTCCCTCTTTAGCAATCTTCTCAATTGCCTATAGATATTTTTAGTTTTCTTTTTCTGGAACTTTACCAATTCTGTTGCAGTGACTAGTAACACTTGTGTTTAGGTATTGATTTTGTGAGCCCAAAAAAGTGCCTGTGTTCCTAATCACTATGTTTTAGCCAAATGAATTAACATGCTAGCTTATTATTTCCCTCCTGTGTGTACACATCAATGGTATTTCAAGTAGAAAGTAGAAATACCATTGATGTGTCATTCAGCAACTATGGGCACAACCATGAAGTAAGCACTGTATTTCATATCAGGGGGTATGAAAAAGGTACTGTCTTGGCCTGCAAGGGCCTAAGTGTATACATAACAATGGTACTTTGAGTGGAGAGTGTGTAAGCAATAGTGGGAGACAATGGGGAGTGGTGATGTATTTATAGACATGCTAAAGAGAGAAGATTGAAGAGGCTTCGCAATGTGCTTATATAAGAGATTGGTGCACAATTTAACTTCTCTTATCCTTTCTAAAATAAAATACAGTAGAACAGAATAAGTAGATTGGATTAGAATGAAATGGTTTAGAATAGAATAATACAGATTAGGATAGAATAGAATGGTGGAATAGAATATAATAGAATGAATGAAATAGAATATAATGGAATTCAATAGAATAGAATAAATAGAATGGAATATAGTAGATGAGAATAGAATTCAATAGAATAGAAAGAGAAGAGAATAGATAAAATAGAATGAATAAAATAGAATAGAATTTAATAGAATAGGCTCGAATGAAATAGAATAGAATTTAGTAGAATAGATATCAGGATTGTACTAGCTCTGTAGATTGATTTGGCTAGCTTTTTCTTTTTCTCCTTTCTGAAACAGTACTAAAAAGAATTATCTAGCTGGGTATGGTGGCTCATGCCTATAATCCTAGTACTCTGAGAGGCTGAGGTAGGTAGATTGCCTGAGCTCAGGAGTTCCAGAGTAGACTGAGCAAGAGCAAGACCTCATCTCTACTAAAAACTAGAAAAACTAGCCAGGTACCATGACAGGCATCTGTAGTTCCGGCTACTTCAAAGGCTGTAGCAAGAGAATCACTTAAGCCCAAGAGTTTGAGGTTGCAGTGAGCTATGATACGATGGCACTCAATCCCAGTGTAACTGAGTGAGACATTCTGTCTAAAAAACAAACAGGGCAGCACCTGTGGCTCAAAGGAGTAGAGCACTGGCCCCATATACTGGAGGTGGTGGGTTCAAACCCAGCCCTGGCCAAAAATTGCAAACAAACAAACAAAAAAGGAAATATCTCTTGGCAGTGCCCATAACTCAGTGGGTACTGTGCCAGCCATATACAGCAAGGCTGGCGGGTTCAAGCCTGGCCCAGGCTTGCTAAACAACAATGACAACTGCAACAAAAAAATAGCAGGGCGCTATGGTGGGTGCCTATAGTCCCAGCTACTTGGGAGGCTAAGGCAAGAGAATAGCTTGAGCCCAAGAGTTTGAGGTTGCTGTGAGCTGTGACACCATGGTACTCTACCAAGGGTGACTTAGTCAGACTCTGTCTCAAAAAAAGGAAGTATCTGATACTTGAAGGTTTGGTAAAACTTAGCTATAAAATCACCTGGGTGTGGTATCTTGCAAGGAGGGTAAATGTTTCATTACTGATTCCATTTTTTAAAGTTTTTTATTTTTTAAATTCTGTTTTTTCCTTTTGTTTTCCATGATTTATATTTCTAGAAAATTATCCATTTTATGTGTTTGAATATACTTTTATAAAGTTGCATATATTTGCACATGACTTTTATTCATCATTGATTGCATAATGTCCCCTTTTTGATCCTTTGATCCTGGCATATTATATATGTATATTAAGATACATAATTCATTTTTTATTGAGAGCTTTTGTTTAAGGATTGGATACTTTTAGTTATTCTTTCAATATTAATCTGTTGGGAAAATACATAAGATTCTTTTTCAGAATTTCATATGAAATTCAGTATACAAAAGGTGACCATCTTTTAGAAGAAATGTCTAGGGCAATAATATTCTTTTTTGTGTGTGTGAAGACATAATCATTAACTATGAAGTATAGAATAATTTTTAGAATATCATGAACTATACCAGTCCAGTCTATTAAGGTAATTTTCAGGTATTTCCCTTTAAATTTTTTTCACTAGCAGCCCAGGGATTTCTTATTCTAATTATCAGAATAAAGACACAATATACTCTTTAACCCTAAAATTCAAACTAAAAAAATAGCAACCTTGCAGAGAAGAAATTTAATCTTTGGATCTATTAAATAGTAGAATTTTTAAAAAGGATTTCCCATCCTGATTCAGTTAGCAAAGATAATAAGCTTTTATTTGGACAGAGGCAGAATCCTAAAGCAATAGTCCTAGGTTAGCAACACATTACAATCACCTACAGAGCTTCTAAAAAGGGACACACGTAGACTAGTTACATCAAAATCTCTGGAGGGGAGGGAACATCTGTAATCTTTTACAGTTCCCTAGGTGGTTGTTATGTGCATCCAAATTGAGAAGGCTGCTTTACAGCAAATTAAAGAAACATTTTTTAAAGCCATTTTTTTTTTTTTTTTTGCATAACAGACCATGAAAAAGAAAAAGCCCACATACTGAATGAAATGAGAGTTTTAACAGTAGATTGTAAGTAGCAAATTGGCTTATCAAGTGGCTAAAAAACAAAACCAAGAAACATAGAAATAAGTTCTTTGTGACTGAATCATTTGTCTTTCAGAGGAAAAACATTTTAAAATTTATTTTATGGATATTAGAAATCTGCTGGTCTAATTTCACAGTACAGAGCTCTAAACAGTAGTCCATATCTTGATTAGGAACAGAGAGCAGAGAGATCTATGTAGTCTAAGAAAAAAAATCTGTCTTGAAAAATACATAATAATGCAAAAAAGACAGTTTTTATTGGTAAATTCATTAAAAATATATTTTAATTGTATATATGTTGATTAGCATATGTAATATGGTTGGTTTTTCATTTAAACTTCCACATATTGTATACTTCCTTTTGGAAAGGATCTTCCTAGAACTAGTGTTTTATTTGTTCATTTTGTCAATAATGTGATAACAACTTGTTCTTTCTTTACTTTTGTATTTAAGCAGGTATTTTAACTTTTTTGATGTTTGGATTTGAGAATACTTTCTGAGTATGGTGGTAATTTCATGATATCTTACTCAGAAAAGGTCACCTGAATTTGTTTACCAAATTATCAAAAACACATAAGCAGAGCTATTAAACCTTCAAATATATTGCAAGGGCTAGGGAATTATAACCTTATAAATATTATTTTTCCCATAAGAATTAAAAACTATTTTGCAGGGATTTTCAAGACTAGTAACTAATGAGAAAGTAATAATATGACCAACTATTAATATGTTATAATTTGACAAGAGGCATTCAGAAAACATTATAAATACATTCAGCTGAACAGCCAAAATATTAAAAAAAAATCTCTTCCAAAGAAATGTATGAACTGTATTAACTTTCGGCCAAATAACAAAGATACTCTATTTTAGGGATGCTGGTTCTTAAAAATATTTCTTTATTAAAAAATAAAACACACATAATGAAAACCACACAAAATAAATGTATAGTTTATTGAGCTATAATAAGGGAAACACCATTGGAACCATCACCAAAATCAAGAAATAGAACTGTATAGGTGCTCAGAAGTACCTCTTAAGTATTCTGTCATGATCTTAACCCTTTCCTTATCCCAAAAATTAACCACTGTCATGACTTTTTAACTACTCTCCTGTACACCCATATAGTTTTTATCATTTCCATCTGCATCCCTAGAAAACATAGCTTAATATTTAGCAATTTAGAACATTTTAATGTATATTTTAAACTTATTTTAATCCATACGTTCCCTATCAACCCCTTTCTTTTCTTTAAAATTTATCTGTTGAATCTATACTGTCCCACAATC